TTCTTGCTGATCTTCTGGGGGAGGGGCCTGTTGCTGTGGTTCTCAAATGTCTTTGCCGGAGGCGGAATTGCCTTGCCCTTGCCGGGTCCAGGCTAAGTAATCTGCTCGGGTTTGCTCTCGGAGCTTTTGTTCCCTGCAAGCTTTCTGTACAGCTTTGGAGGATGAGAGTGAAAATGGCCTCCCAGCCTCCACCCCGTAGTAGCCAAGAACTCAGGGCCCTACTCCCCAGTGCACCCCCAGAGAAAAGCAATCACTCCCGTCTCCCCAGTCTCCGGCTGCACGCCGTGCTCACCCAGCCTGTGACCAAGCGTTTCTATCTCTGGCACACGACCCCATGTGGAGTCTCCAAACCCAGCAGATCCCTGCACTGCAGACCAGTCCCGCGCCGCTCCTCCTCGGGGAAGAAGGGGAGTCTCCCCGGATCTGCCCTTTTTGTCTCCCTGCTGGAAGAGCAGTGGCCCAACTGTGCCGCAGATCACGGTTTATGGCAGCCCTGAGCTGAGAGCCTGTTCCTCTGCTCCGTCTCTGCAGCCGGCTTCCCCGCTCCGATACCTGGGAGCTCTGCCACACTCAGGCACCCCTGGTCTTTCTGTGACCCCGAGGGTTCCACCCCCCACTTAGCCACTGGAGCGACGTCCCTCAGCAGAGCCAACTTCTAAGTTCTGATTTTGTGCTCTGCTCCTCTATCACTTGCTGGTAGTGGCTCACGGAGGCTTCCTAACCCTGTGGTCTATCTTCCCGTATATCATCTCGGATTCACTTCTCCGCAAGTCCTACCTTCCAGAAAGTGGTTGCTTTTCTTCAGAGTTGTTGCTATTCTTTTCTTCGATCTCCTGTTGAGTTTGTAGGTGTTCAGAATGGTTTGATAACTATCTAGCTGAATTCCTGGGACCAGACGAAATTTAGGTCTCCTACTCCTCCACTATCTTGCTCCTCCTCGAGATACTAGATTTTTTTTTTTTTTAAGATTTTATTTATTTATTTGACAGAGAAAGAGACAGTGAGAGAGGGAACATAAGCAGGGGAGTGGGAGAGGGAGAAGCAGGCCTCCCGCTGAGCAGGGAGCCTGACGCGGGGCTCAATCCCAGGGTCCTGGGATCATGACCTGAGCTGAAGGCAGACGCTTAACAACTGAGCCACCCAGGCGCCCCTGAGATACTAGATTTTTAAAAAGATTTTACTTATTTGTTTCCAGAGAGAAAGCGCGAGGTCAATGGCAGGGTGGGGGGCAGAGGAGAGGGGGGAGAGAATCAAGCTGATTCCAAGCTGAGCATGGTGCTGATCCCTGGGCTCAATCCCTTGATCCCAAGATCACTACCTGAGCCAAAACCAAGAATCAGACCCTCAACCGACTGAGCCACCCCAGGGTTGTGATATCGAGCCCCATGTCAGGCTCCATGCTGAGTGTAGAGCCTGCTTAGGAGTCTCTTTCTCTCTCTCCCTCTGTCCCTCCCCACTCTCTAAAGAAACAATTTTAAAAAAGAAACAGGAGGGGCGCCTGGGTGGCTCAGTTGTTAGGCGTCTGCCTTCGGCTCGGGTCATGGTCCTGGGGCCCTGGGATCGAGCCCCGCGTCGGGCTCCCTGCTCTGTGGGAAGCCTGCTTCTCCCTCTCCCACTCCCCCTGCTTGTGTTCCCTCTCTCGCTATGTTTCTATCTGTCAAATAAATATATAAAATCTTTAAAAAAAAAAAAAAGAAACAGGAAAAGGAAAATAGAACTTCAGACTCCCAGCACATCTGCCTAACTCTTCTTGTGCCCGTAAACTCTTACCTTTTCTCCTGCTACTATGAACGATCTAGCTTTGCCTCTGAGACCAACCCCTGTGTACTTGATTCTGTCTTCACTAACCTAGTATAAAATACAGACCTGGGAAATCTCCCCTCCCTCTTCTACATCGTCTGCTGTATCATTCCCTAGTGTATAAACGTGCCAGGATCTTTCCCATCTTAAAAAAAGGTTCTTTCTTGACCGAATCTCTACCTTCAGCGACTGTCTGCATTTTCGTCCCTTTACAGCCAAGCTCTGAAAAACTGTTCTACTACTATTATCTCATTTTTGTTTCTACTTCATGTTCAGATGCAGGCAAGGAATAAGCAGACAGTTGGGTTTAATCATAGTGTGGTTAAGCCATGTGAATATGATGAGATAAAAGAACAAGGGAGTAAAGATTCTCTGCAAGTGTGTAATTTAAGCTGCTTACAGAGAAAGAAGTACTTGAGAGGGGTGAGAGATGTGAAGAGGCGGTGATATTGGTGGACAGAAGTTCTCCACGGAGGTTGAAGGATTATTGGAGATGAGGTACTAGAGTGACTGAGCTAGAAGGAGAGGTTAGTGGTTAGAGGTTTGAGATCATAGAAGAGTCTGAGTTACTTGTAATTAACAAGCTTAAGGTTGTGACCAAAAGTTGTAGTTGAGGCAGAATAGAAGAAAAATAATTGAAAAGCCTTTCAAGTTCAGCCAATGAACTGAGAGGCCAAGACACTGGGATGAACATCTTTGTGGGTATTGAAATCCTCAAGAACTGTAACTGGAATGGTGTAGAGGCTGAGAGTGAGACAGGAACTAAGTTCTTAAAGGATCAGGGGGAATTGAGGGCACTATAGGGTAGAAAATTGCAGTAAGAAGTGCCCAGGTGGCAGAGGGCATGATCTGAGAACAGGTTTTTAATGGAGGGAGCAGAGGTAAGCAGCCATGAGGAGAGAGGAATCTGTTTCACCTCCAGGCCCCGTGGTATCAGAGGTGGTGTGGAGAAAACAGCTACCATTTCAGAGGGCTGCAGGGGAAGCACCGTCCTCTACAGTTGCAAATTCTGACACGCTTAGAGGGCTGGGTGTTTTCACAAATTAATACTCATTTTTCTTAAACCAGAGTCTCATGAAATAGTAGTTGAAACACAGCTTCGTGTTTGGAAGACATAGGGAGTGGCAGAGGGATCATTTTAAAGGGAACAACCTTTATTTTGTGTTGCTGTGAGAGGATTTAGGCCTAGTACTGCCAGATCTTTGTTTTTTTCCTGAGAATCCAGAACTGGATTTTTGTGTGAAAAAGATTACAACACTAGCTTATTTACTTATTTTAAAATATTGTGCAGGCCAAATAAACTGTATTTAGCCACTGTCAAAATTTTATGAATTCTGCTTTTTAAAACAGAAATCTAGTATTTGTAAGTTCATGAGTCAAAGTCCATGATCCTCAACCTGGCTGCCTTGTTGGGTAGCCTGCCACCGTTCAGTCCAGTCTGCAGGTGTAAAAGGAGTGACTATCACAAGCTGATCACCAAGCAGCACTTAAATTACCTGGCAACTTATCAGTTGTTTAATTATTATTACTCAGACAGATCTGATCTCAACCCATATTTTTTTACTTTCAATTCTAACCCTGATAATGGAATTTCCTTGGAAGAGAAACACACTTAACCTTATTTATAGCCAGCACTTTTTTTTTTTTTAAGATTTTATTTATTTATTTGACACAGAGAGACACAGTGAGAGAGGGAACACAAGCAGGGGGAGTGGGAGAGGGAGAAGCAGGCTTCCCGCGGAGGAGGGAGCCCGATGCGGGGCTCGGTCCCAGGACCCTGGGATCATGACCTGAGCCGAAGGCAGACGCTTAATGACTGAGCCACCCACGCGCCCCTATAGCCAGAATGAAAAGTAGACCTCCTACAAAAAAAGAAAACTTCTAATGGAAGAAAACTTAGAGGCTCTTTAAGCCCAACAAAACAAACCAAAAAACTAGTTAATTCCTAAATAATTTCAACATTATAAAATCTTTAAAATTTTTTTTTTTAAATGAGAGAGAGAAAGAGAGAGCATGAGAGGGGGGAGGGTCAAAGGAAGAAGCAGACTCCCCACTGAGCAGGTTGCCTGATGTGGGACTCAATCCTGGGACTCCAGGATCATGACCTGAGCTGAAGGCAGCCGCTTAACCAACTGAGCCACCCAGGCGCCCCTAACATTATAAAATCTTTAATGTTGCTTCAATATCTTCAATTTTACTTTAATCATAATGATGACCATACTCCCTTTGTATTGAAACAGAAGTCTAAGGATGGTATTTGGCTCTTTTTGACCTCAGGGAAGCAAACCCCTCTGGACTTAGTGTCCTTATCTGTAAAATGGAGATTAAAAATCCATACCCTACCTACTACATAAGGTAGCTATTAGGATCAAATGAGAATGTGAAAAGCTTACCTCTTGACTTTGTATGGCTGCTTTTATTCTGTTAAGGAATAGCAACTTGCTGGATGCCTGGGTGGCTCAGTTGGTTAAGCAGCTTTCTTCAGCTCAGGTCATGATCCCAGGGTCCTCGGATCAAGTCCCGCATCGGGCTCCCCGCTGAGCAGGGAGCCTGCTTCTCCCTCTCCCTCTGCCTGCCACTCCTCCTGCTTGTGCTCTCTCTCTCTCTGACAAATAAAAAAATAAAATCTTAAAAAAAAAAAAGGAATAACAACTTGCCTGAAGCTAGTGAGATAGATTGTCTATTTAGAAAAAATAGAGTATATTTAAAATTTATGAACCCCTGAGTATGAGTGGATATATAATCTACTTCCAAAAGCAACTTTCCTACTGATAAATGACACTGGTGATGGTATCATTGTGTGAGGTAGTGGCTGAAATGTACCCTTCCTGGGTCTGTAAGCATGACTGGTCATACTTTGGCTAAAAATCCTGTTCATTCAGGTGAGATTTGATACACACTCTTTCTTTGGTCCTACTATCACCTCCCTTCCCTTCTCACCCTGTGCTCCTTTTTTCATCAAAATTAATAATTATCACTTGAGAGTTATATTTAATGAGTCTTTTTTTTAAAGATTTATTTTTTTATTTAGAGAGACAGAGAGCTGGGGGAGGGGCAGAGGGAAGGGGAGAGAGAATCCCAAGCAGACTCCTGGCTGAGCGTGGAGCTGGACACAGAGCTCGATCTCATGACCCTGAGATCATGACCTGAGCCGAAACCAAGAGTCAGACGCTCAACCGACTGAGTCACCCAGGCACCCCTAATGAGTCTTTTCTAGCAACATTTAATACACACTCAAAAGAACAAGTCTTAACTGAGAAACACAGGATACCTCCTTTTCACAGTAATTTAAGTTCCAGTGATGACAACTACAAGGCCACTTCCTCAGAGGAAGCTAAACATTGATGAGTCCAGTGCAGCCAGTATGTTGAATATGAGGTGATAAAATCTTTATCACATCCAGCTTGACTGTCCTGTAACTTAGTCTGAGTCTTTTGGAATAGTTATTCCTTTTTATTAATTGGATGGTTGTTATACAGCCATGGAAGGAAAAAGCTGAACATCAAAATCATCAACAATATACCTGAAAGACAAAATAGAGTAAAATAAAAACAATCTAAGGAAGTTCATAATCACTCAGTGGCTATAATTTAAGGTTATATACCTAGAGATTAGGAAGGCTATGTTTAAAAGAATTAGCTGCATCAATTCTACATGAAACACATGGATATTTTTTAATGTAACATTCTCACATTTTTCTTCAACCATGAATCCTTAAAAACATATGTATCTGGTAAAACCAGAAGGATCTAAACAGTGAATTGAAAGGATAAATATTTCTGGAGTTCTAGTTCTGGCTCCATTACTGACTTGCTGAGTGAGAAACTCTGGATTTAGGTCTCCATTTGCTCTTCTCTTAAAAGATCAACACTGTGTCCCTCCATGCCTCAGATATGTATGTACTGGGAGAATAAGGCAATTGAAAGCACTCATGAGTTTTCATTTGGAATGATCAAATATTACTTTCTCCCTTCTCTTTTTTTCATCAGTCACAATATTAATAGCTTTTACAGCTGTACCAAGCAAAATGTCTAAAGCCAAATTTCAGTCAGTGCTGAAATTTTATATCAAATAGAAAATATGTGGGGCACCTGAGTGTCTCAGTCGGGTCTCAGTCAGTTGAGTTTCCAACTGTTGATTTCAGCTCAGGTCAAAATCTCATGGTCCTGGGATCAAGCCCTGTGTTGGGCTCCGTGCTTGGTAAAGAGTCTGCTTGAGGTTCTCTCTCTGCCCCTCCCCCAGCTCTTTCTCTCTCTCTCTCAAATGAATACATAAAATCTTTTTTTTAAAGAAAATATGTTTAAAAAAAGTCATATATTAGTAAATCTTTATTTTTGAGGTCACAAGAAGATAAATCTAGCATGTGGCTATTGGTTAATTTTTCATTGGGGAAATAGGGCTAGAGGAGACAGCTACAGGGTTCAAATCACTGTCTTGAAAGGGATGTCTGCAATAATATTTTTATCTTAACATATTTAGGCTTAAAGCTCTAAATTAGTTTAAACTCAGATTAAGAATGAGTTTTTGTCACATGCAGATTTGATATTTTTTTACTCCTATTTGGTAACAGCAAACCTTAAGGTTTGACTAGGATTTGGATAGCTTAACATGCCTTTGAAAGAGAAGTCTGTTTTGCAACCAGAGGCTTTAAATGAAAAAAAAAAAAAAAAGTGAAACAACCCATATGTTAACTGACCCACAAGATTTGACATTTTCTTTATAAAGTCAGAGCTAGAGAATAAGACATTACATTGAAAATGTTTTCAAAAATGTAATTTCAGTTTCATAGCAAATAGGATTTGCTAATTTTCATTTTATGAATGTGTAGAGAATTATTTTTTTAATTTTTAAATCTTTTTTATTTTATTTTATTTATTTGTCAGAGAGAGAGAGAGAGCAGGCACAAGCAGGGGGAGTGGCAGGCAGAGGCACAGGGAGAAGCAAACTCCCCACTGAGCAAGGAGCCCGATGTGGGACTCAATCCCAGGACCCCGGGATCATGACCTGAGCCGAAGGCAGATGCTTAACTGACTGAGCCACTCAGGCGCCCCTAGAGATTTAATTCTATATACATTATAATAGTCACATTTCTGCTATTTTAAATTAATTTTGGGGAGGTGGCAGGAGCCATTATATAATTATCTCTGCTATGAAGAGAAACAAGAAAAACAAGGAGTATGGCTTCCAAGAATAGTAATGCTCCCTGCTTGGTCAGGAAGGTTAAGATATCTTGGGATGACTCTCCTCCATCTCACTCAGTGGCATCACCTAACGTAGCTTTAACAGGGTTTTGTTTGTTTTGATGCTTCATCTTTTATTTAGCTGTTTGAAGGACTCTTGTTAAAATACAATTTCTTTTTTTTTTAAGATATTTATTTATTTACTTATTTATTTAAAAGATTTTATTTATTTGACAGAAACACAGAGAGAGAGGGAACACCAGCAGGGGGAGTGGGAGAGGGAGAAACAGGCCTCCCGCTGAGCAGGGAGCC